CGCAGGCACGATGAAAAAAAACTTATATGCATATGTAGGAATATTTACCAGTCGTCAAATGAAGACGCAAATCTAATGATGCTAGGAAATATTCTCATTACGCAGCAATATGAGGTTCGTTCTTTTTTTTCTTGCGTCTGCTGCGAATTGACAAATACATAAGGATATTCAAATATACCACATAAATTACTTGATTCCATCCATACATGAATCCATATGAATAAATGCTGAATTGTTCGTTTTGTTTCGTTTGGATTTTGAGTCAAATGAACGGCACAGCACGTAAATCTATATGCATGAGCATTCTTCGTTATTTGCACTGAATAGCCAACAGAAAACACAAACTTTTAAGTGTCTCTTTGAATGGATACTTTGAGTTGCTCATTTTATCGTTTTGCTTCGTTTATGCAACTAGTATAAGACATCAGTAGTGCAAATACATTCACTACTTCATTCCATTCTTGCACATTACTGATAGTTTCTTTTCTGGTGTTCGCAAGTAATGATATTATCCAACGTTGCTAGATCAAAAACAAAAAAATCATCAGTGCAGAGCATTGAATTCATCGGAAAAGATGATAGAGAAGAAGATGATGAGAATGAAATGATACATACAAATATATATGAACTCGTCTTTGAGGCCTTATCATTTCTTGGAACAATTGAAAAAATTGCATATTTTCGAGAGGAATCTTTTTTTTTTCGTCGCCCAAAAGAGCTTGTGGGCAATGTGAGATAAAAGAAATGCAGCAAAATTCATCACATTGGAAACGATAAATTACAGATGCACTTACTACACTGAACAAACACATTCAGATATAATATCCCTCTCAAATTCCAGAATCGTGAATGATTATTGACTGGTGGATGAATAGAATCAACTGTTGAATGAGTGATTTGTACACATTTCTGAAGTTGAAGCTATTAATTCTAAGACTAAGCTTAAGTGGAAAGCGTATCGTGTATGCAGAGGAGATTTTTAAAATGGAAAGCAAACGAGATGCTGCGTTGCTTCGCGCTGGCTGATCAGATTCATTTAAGACCAGCAATAAGCATGAGAAGACGAAATGAAAGACAGCCATGCAAATGAAAGCTAAAATTAAAAACGGACTGCAGTGAACTGAACAAAACAATCATTATCGTCAATGAGTCTGAAGAATATTAATTCGTTACATGCATAAAAATGACAGCTGTCAAATGACTGTAAAACGAAGAAGACACTGCTTTTCACGCCTATTTGAATGATCATCATAAATCATCGTCTTTGAATCAATTTTCACTTGTGATCATATCGATGTATAACATTCATCATCTGAATAATTCATTCATCGTTTCAGTGAAGCGTTGAAAATCAATCATATTGAATCTACGAGCAACATCATCACTGCATTTTCAATGAATAAACTTACTCTCTGAATATTGAGTCGTATCATTTAATGTTTGCATTTGATGAGCGATCGAGTACGAATTCTTGTTTCATCGTATAATTTTATCCTTCCATGATAGCAGTGGTGTGGTGTGACATATGCAAAAGTTCAATAAAACGATGAATAGCATTCAATTGAAATTTTGAATTCGAATCAAATTATCAAATGCTTGACAACAAGCCGAATAGTACGATCATCACAATATAGTGAACAAGAGCACGACTATTATCATTATTTGGAGTATTCGGCAGTCGTATGCATCAATCGTAAAAGTAAGATTTTGGTTGAAACACATTCACAGTACCAACATGTACTAATGAGTAAATGAACACCTGAACGAACAACGCACGGTTATGAACATAAGCATCAAAGTATGACGATTATATTCATGAATTCCCATCAAATTTTTTCTATAAGTGCCATACTATATCCTACATCAGTGCTCTTCGTATGTGCAATATGCACATGTACAATACAATATCCACTCAAGCAATCTCCATTCGTGTTTGTTTGTAGGTATATGTACTAGATTTATTGTAGAATGAATATCACGCAAACTGACCAACAAAATGCTGCATTTAAAATTCATTTACATTTGTTGCCTGTAATGTATTCAGCTGTAGTCATAACACTACGATAATGATGATAACGGTATATAATAAACTGATAATAATTATCGAAATGAATCTGACAAATGAATAAACAACGGATAAGATCGAGTGATATTGATGAGCTGAAAGTGAAAGTGAAAGATTATTGTCATCAATTACCACTATTATTGCTGTTGTTATTATGCTGACAATTAATAGCTTGACTGACTGATCATTTTCATAACTTACTAAATTGCTGCGGCTGACTGTTCACTGGTTTAGTTAAGCTTCCAGCAATACTAATTGTAATCAGCGATATTTTTCTGGAATCATTCGCTCATTGGGCATCTTGAAAGTTGAAACTTTTGATCAAATATAACTGAATAGATGAATGTTGCGGAACTTGCACTTAACCATAAGCGTGTAAAAGAAGCGTAACCCAGAGTCCAAGTATTAATGTAGGGCTGAACGTAAGCCTGAGCTCAATCCAGTTCCGACGCTAAAAATTCGATCAGTCAGTCAGTCAGTCAAATGCGCATTTTTGTTCGTTCGTATTACAATCGTTGACGACTCGACACAACTTCAATGGATTAGTTCTCCTCAAAGATGAAAGATAATTAGTGGGAGACACCGGACAGTTTTCTTCCCCGGAAAAAAAAAGTAAAAGCATCAACCAATAATGAACGGATGTGAATGACAAACGAACAGAAGGAGTCTTAAGCTCGTAGAATTTAATTCTAAGTAGAATGAATTCACTTATACACATATTTATACATTCGCCCATTCACTCACCTATTCCGCTACAATCTTTATATCTTCTTTCCATCTCGCTGATGCAAACAAGAATCATGATGCAGCAGCAAATGCAAATGAAATAACATGAAGCACTGAGCAATAAAATTTATGGAAGAAATGCTTGATTAAAATGAAAAAAAAAAACCCAACTGAGGACCAAAATTCATGCATAAAGCATTATACATCTAACTATCTCAATACACATCTTATGATTCAAGTTTATTTACGCTCTAGTTGTGATCATTATTCAACAATGTGCATTCACAAGAATGAATTGCTTGATACATCTTTGATTAATACTATATTTTACCACTCGTCAATGTATCTTCTATGATGTCATTTGTCAACCAGTATTTAGGTCGTCTTTTTTCTTTGTTTATTCAAATTGGATTAGCTATTATATTAGTCTTTCAGTGTTCTTTTATCGGACTTTATAAATGCTTCCTTATTCGTTCAACTAGCAACTGTTAGTGGACTGCACACTTTCTGAAGCAATAAGTTATGCACTGCATATCTTTTGGGATGAAGCAGTAAGTTATGTTTAATGAATGCTTGCTGGACAATAAAATGAATAAGGAAGTGTGCGACGAGCAATTCGAAGGGGAAGTGTTAGACGAGTGTGCACGGCTTGCGGTCAACCAGCTCGACGAGGTATTTCGAAAGGAAATAACCAAATTGACAGGAAATTGATCAGGCATAAACAAGATGGTTACCATCAGAGCAAAAGTCAAAGGATCGACCCTTAATTCAAAGTGACGATTAATAAAACATTAACAACTATGAATAGCGTGACGATACGACTCATAATCATATCTTGAACGCCACTAACGATAACGAAATGAAGTAATGATTAAGTTAATAACGATCATCTTGGCATGCAATAAAAGCCATAATAATTATTATAATAACAATGATAAAAAGAACAATAACAGCAATGATCACATAGAGCAATGATTAAAAAATTAGAATAGCTGTCAGCGATAATAATACGGTAATAATAATGACAACAATAATAACGTGAAAGACATTTCAATTGACAAGACTGCATTTGGCGAGTATCTTACTTATCCTATTCAACACTATATACATCAACGGAACACAGAACTGCGTCTATGTCTCTAAACTTAAACAATACTTTCGAATGAATTTATTTTTCAAACAGTGAAATCGAGATATAATACACATAGCTTATTGTTGTTGTTGTTGTTTCAATCGTGGTTGTTGTTGTTGTTGTTGTTTTGTTACATTTATTCTCCATTTTGAACATTCGTTCATCTATACATATTTAGCGAAGAAAGACATTTCATCTGAAAGAGTTCGTTGTTTTGTAGCTACACGGAAATGAATGCTTGAATAGAATAATATGACATGATAAAATGATAATAAGCTACAGTTTGTTAAATTTGTGCACACATATTGCTTTGTTACGATTCGGTTCGATAACTTATTTAGTAAGATCACTATGAATACTCCAGCTCGTCCACATGCAAATAATTCGACAGCGATGCAATTTTAGTCTTATTTCAGTGGTCTTTTGCTGCTCATTATGGGCATTTCCATTATACGAGAGCGATCTATGTTCGTCATTTTGTTTAATGAATGAAACTATTGCTTAGCACAAAAAGTTGCACGGAATGTCGCACTGGTAAAACATTTCATCGATGCCAACAGTGAATAAATTAGGGGCTAAATTTAGATGCTGGAAATTTCTTCACCAAAAAAATAGCATGAACTAGGCGATAAAATCATCACTAGTTGTGAAAATAAGTAAGATAGCCGGTAAAATAGATGGAAAGAAGAGCACGAGCAGATAAGAATATGAACACTGAAAATGAATTTTTTTTAAAAACTGACCAACAAAACATTCACATGAAACACGAACATTTAAATTGAATTTCTGCCATATTTGACATTGATCTGTGCCAACGTTCCTCAGCACCACAAAATTCATATGTTTTTGCTTACATTTTCCGTGTGCTATAAAATATCCGCACTAATCATGACAAATCACAAAGCATTTTTTTTTTGAGATTTTCTTTGTTGTACTCATCGAACGAAATGATTGAGCCGGCCGTTCTTAGGCTCTTCATGGCATCAATGAAACAAATAATTTAGTTTTTACATTCGATCTTCTTACTTTTATCAAAGTAAGAAGCGCCGCAAATGCAAGATTTGTTTTGTGATGTACTCAGTATGGTAAGATGTAAACAGACTTACGAAAATCGTAGAAATAAAGGCATGCTTTATCATCATCGCACATCACCTCGTTGATGAAAGGTGGGAAGAATGTGTCGGGAAGTCGTCGTATCGCTTGGCATGCCGCACACAACCGCAGATAACCATCCTCTTCACCACCACGCTTATCACATCCAAATGGTACCACATGAACGTCACCTCAACATATCACATTCGTCAGTTGATTGAATGAAAAGCACCAGAAGGTGTGAGCAGTCATCTGAATCAGTCATCTAACCATGATTCAACAATCGCTCGATAGACTAGTCGTTCAATGAATCGATCAATCTGAAGTCATTCATACCTATAAGCTTTTGTCTTTGTTTCTTCTGAGAGCGTGATGAGTGCCGTTCTTGTTGTTGTGTCGTTGCTGCAGCATCTGCTTGTCGAGATGCTTCAAATGAGTCGATCAAACTTTTAGCAACTTCTCGCTTTGAGCGTAACTCGGACTCAGTCATCCGAATCGACGGCGATACCACGCTACGCCTCGGTTCACCCCTGTTTTCATCATTGTTTCACATTCGATGCAATGCAACACAATCAGTATTCGCACTGTAGCAGTTGAAACAATTCATGCTTATAATACCCGTACTAATTCATCCCAAATACTGTGGGCAAAATTTTCAAACTGCAATCAACCATTCATCACTGAATAAATGAAATGACCGAGCGGGCTAGCTCAAAGATTAGCTCAGACTGAGAAGGCTTAATTTGCTTTCATTACGTGCGCAAAACTGTTCGAAGTGGTTTTTCGTGGAACATATATGGCCGAATGGAGATTGAACCAGTGGAGTGAACTGAATAAAGAGTGAAAATGCCAGCCACTACTAACAAGGTTATATTTTGAATTCGTGAAATAACCGATGGCGATCGTACATCACATTGTAAATTTAGTTCAGCCAGAATGCGCTCCAACGCCTCAATATTTCGTTCGACAGTTTCTTCACTGCTCGCATGACTTTTCATTTGACGCTAAAAACAGAACGAAAATAACTTATAATTTTCGAACTTGAAAACAACGAGCATATTCAAAATCTTTTAGAAAATTGCTGAGATATTATTGCAGTCAACATTCACTCACTCACTCACCTCATACTGATCAACAATGGATCGATCAAGGAAACGTATAACACCAGATGCATCCCAGGCCATCAAATCTGGATTATACGTGCCTTTTTGCTTAAGTTCAACCACCAGTTCTTGTTGTGATAAGCGTTTGCACTCTTCCACTGTATTATTACGCTTCAACAAAAAAAAAAACATTAATGTCATATGGAGAAAACAATCGAATTTGTTGCGTATTGCTCAAGGGCAATAAAATTGCTGTGAAAATGAACAAACAAGACGGAAAGAATGGACGATGAAAAAAAAGTAATGTAAACACCTTGGGTATGAAAGGTTTTGCGCGTATTTTCTGTGGCTGATATTGTTCATTTTGTTGCTGTGGAGATGAGGACGACGACTCTTCGACATTGTTACGATTCAGATTACTGTTCAGTTCCTCTTCACGAGTCACTTGAATTGCTCGAACTCGATCCAAAAAAAACGCCGACTCACGATCGGGTAATGACGCAGAAATCGGTGAATATCGTGAATAGCGTTTACGGCGCTCAATTGAATTGCTCACTAATGCCGTATCCACTTCAGCTAACAGACTTTCCAAATCTCGTCTGTACTTCAGTAATTCATCTTCTGCAACACACACATAATTCATTCATTTATTCATCTTATCAGTGTATATTAAAGCGTGGTAAAGTCAAAATTTTATCATTTTCAAAAACCCTCCTAATGCATACTACCGAATCTGCCGAGTAAATTAAAAATCGCATGCTGAGTAAATCCATATCAATTTGTTTTGATTCAAAAATATGCTTTCTTGCAAGAAAATGGTCAACTACTAGCTGAAATACATTATGTATCAGCTACCTTAAGCCTTAGCATTTACTAACAAGCATTAAAATGTATTTGTGTGTGGTCACTCAACTACTCCCACCATAATACATCAATACTAAACAGAAAGTGTTCAGTTGTAATACTGTTTTCATCTAATGAACGTCAGCAACACTTCGATTTAAATGAGCAAAAAAAAGGATGCACCTAAATGCTGCTTGACAAGTGAAATAATTAAGGATACAATGCCAGAAACGAAGACATCATTAAAACTGAACTTAGTTCCTTCCATAAAACTTTATGATAATAATAGCATTTCGTTTGCTATTACTAACAATATCACTATATCATTTATAATTGTGATGAGCAAAGTGAGGATAAACAAAAAGGGTGACGAGTGAGACAAACCAGTTGCTTTTTTGAAATCCTTCATTGCGCAATTGCTGGCCACTAGTGCTTGTGGTGGTTCTATGAGATGCTGCTTTTCTGCGATATCGATACTGGAATCACTCTCATGGATACTGCTGCTAATGTTTTTGGAGGTGTCTTCAGTTGGAGTTGTTTCGAGATGAACAATTTCGAATGCACTAGTTGTAAGATCGTGCACAAATGAGGTTGTAGTGGTGGGAAGAGCAGTAAGAGGGGCACGACTAGTAATGGTCTTATTCCTAACACCGATAGAAGAAGTGACTGTTGCAAGAGAAACGGGAAGTGACTGGCTAGTATCGCTGCTGGCATTTATGCTCGAAGAAGGAGGTGCACTGATTGCGGATGAAGCTGTTCCGGCTAACGTATGATAACGTGCCGCAAGATCGTCTGAGACATCAGCAGGTAATGTTGATTTTGAAAGGGTTTTGAGTTCGGATGAACGTGTGTCGAGTTCAATAGTAAGTTTGGACGAAGAAGGTAATAAAGCAGCAGTTGTATCAGTGCTATCAGTAGATAAAGCATTAGCGGCGATATCAGTGACTTCATTGGAAGTCGAAGTGGGTGGAGGAGAGGAGGAAGACGGATAAGAAGAAGATGTGCTGCTGGAGCTACTAGCACTAGACGATGCTTGAATAACAGATGACGACTGCACGAATACACCATGAACAGTGGCTGCGGTCGAAAGTAGTAGAATCAGAAAGCATATACGTGACGTTGATGAGCATCGAAATAGTTCGAGTAAAGATGATGAATGATGATGAGCATGATGATGGTGTATGATGCATTCATGCAACGAAGACACTTCTGCTGAATCGCTTCGATTCGGATTTTTCGCAGTGCTCAATATCGCGGTTGGTTGAGTACTGGTGCATGGTAATGCTGATAACAACATATCCACCAGTTTTACTCAGCGCAACAACCAACCTCCTTGTTGTGTTGGTAATGCTGCAAATGCGAAACAGTAATGGCTCTTGCAACCTGTTCCGGAATTTAAGCGGTGGCCGTAACCGCAATTCCGTTTTAATCATTCGCCTCTCTCCAACAATTCTTACTGTAATCAACATTAAGCTAATCAATCATTGTAATAATCATAAATAATCTCACCATTCAAACGATCGTATTGCATGAATTCAAATCGAATGTACAAGCGATTTCAATTGAATAGATGCGATTAATGAGAACGAAATTATGTGTGTAGAGAACAGAACGCATGCTAGACTGAATATTCACTGAACTGTGATGTTGGTGAAATGATAACTGATTACTATTTGAAGCATAAAATTGTTTCCAAGAAGAGTAGAATGAAGCAAGCGGCTGAGAGATGAAAAATGAAGCAAAACGAGATGATTATGTTGATGGGGATCATGAAAATGGATGAATTAGTATGAAACGATGACGCTATCAATCAATATTGTCAACGAAAACGAAAAGTGACTGAATTCAATGAAACGAATAAAGGATCAATGGAATGCAAATTTTCCAAAGTTAACGGATAATATTTGAATGCGGATTTCTTCGAGCGGTTTCGAAAATCAAGAACAGACAGCTGCTTGGTAAGCTTAAAGGCGGCGACCAATGGATATGTGTGGCGAGCAATCGATGTGGACTAGATTAATACAAGTAATTCATGTAAATAAAGATATGACAATTTAAATATCATTTTCAATCGAAACAAGTTTCCACTCTTTGACGTCACTTATCAGTTGCAACGAAAGGAAAATAAAAAACAAAAAAGCGGAACCGAACAATAATAATAATCAATAACTCTATTATTAGCGGTAATAATAACAACATTAATGATAATAACGATAATGACTCTATTGGCAAAAGTAATAATGTTACCGATAATAATAAGCATGATAATAATAATAATGATAATATCATATAATTCATTTATATTCTAATGAAAAGAATTTGTCAAATCGAATCGATTCGAATCAACAAATCAATTAATTAATAAATAAATAAATCAATCAAACAAACAGTTTATCACAAGTCAACAATAAAAAATAACACGAAAATAGCTATCGCTTCCTAATCATTTAATTGTCCGTTTATATTCTGTTACGTTTTTGCAAGAAGAACATCTCATTGACTTCATTCAAGTACTTGCGGAATGTCGTAAAAATGAATGATTGCTAAAATAGGTTCTAGACGTGTCAACACAGCTACTTCAAAATTAGAAGTAATCAATTATGCATTCATCCAGTTATTCACTCATCCATCACAAAATTTCACTACACCACTGTGATTTTCTTCGTCAATCAAATCTTACTTAAACTTTTCTCAAGCAAAAAAATACTCTATTCGAATCCTGAACAGTAACATAGGAGTACTCGCCCAATATGGTTCCCCATGTGTACATACAGATAAATGTAAATACGTTGAACGACATATCGCGAACACATAATAATATGAACGGGCAATAGATAATGTCCTCTGTGTGGTTTCATTCCATTCGGTCATTCTCTTTCGAAAAGAATCGAAAAAAAAAAAGAATTGCAAATTCACAGTGGTTGGTGGTATCATATATGTATGTAATAAGTGTTCCAAAGAACGACGATTACCAACAACAAAATGAGGTTAGTTTGTTTGAAGAATACAAAACAAATAAGTGGTTGAATGAATGAATGAATTCATCAGCTCACTGTTGGTGTGTGATCGTCGATGAAGAATGCAACAGCTGTTACTGCAACTTTAATGTCGGATTATGGCAAAGGAATACTGCTAAAGAAGGGAAACTTGCTAATGAAGTGTGAATAAGTGAACAAAATCACATAGAATGATAATATGATGGATAATGGCCAAGAGGTATTTGATAATGAATGAGTTGTAGAAAATTAGAACTGAGCGACTGGGAATTTTGAAATGTAATTGATTTTGCCCATAAATGATGATAAAGAAGATGAATCGATTATAAAAAAATGAAACTGAATTGAATTAAATGGTTTAAGGATGGTAGAGATTGCAGCAAACAAAAACAAGAATAATAATAATAATAATAATAACAATAATATTAGTAATAATAATAATAACAATAATAATAATAATAGTCATTAGTCAAGTGAACAACTGCATCTCACACTCGATCGCAACAGGTGACGATGGTATCATGAAGCTGAGTGATTACTCGCTTGAAATTGTGCAAGGAATAACAATATGATCATGCAAAATGATCAGCAACTGAAATAATATCCACTGTACTGATTCAACTGGATTTAATTAACATAACAAGTCTGTGATGAGTTTCATCCAATCAAGAAAGAATAGCAGTAGACGAAGAAGAAACAGATTATTGAGTCATTTAAGGATGAAGAATGAAAGGATCAATAGGAAAACGTGATGGGATAAGACGGGTTCGAACAGGACATGAGAGAACGGGACGAAGTGTGGAACGAGATTGACTCGTGGATGGACAACTCTTGTGAATATGATGATTAAAATGAGATGAGATCAATTGAACTGATCATCTTTTCATGATGATCTATTTTCGATTCAATACAAATACGACATTCATGCAGACACGCACTATCAAGAGAAATGCATAGACAGATACATTTGAAATTACAACCGACCACAAAATCTTCAGTATTGGTCACATCAAGTTGTTATCTTCACATATGTGATTGCTCAATGACAATAAAAAATAGTGATAAAGNCATAATAATAACAATGACCATATCAAAGGTAACATCAATAACGATAACGAAAATATATATGGAATAAATATTGTTCTATTGTACCACTGATGAAATACCTACTGTTTATGTATACCCAAGCGAATAATTACTGTAAAAAATTTGTTAAATAGAACGACTGCAATGTTGTGAATAGTATCAATAATCTACTGCTTTCGAAGGATATTTTTGAAATGAAACTGTTAATGTAATTTGTAGGAATATGCCAGATATTATCATATTACGAATGCTACCATAGTCACTCTCTTACACTTTGCATATTTTCATACCAATACGAAATGAAATCACTTCAACGAATACATGAACGCACACACGATTTAACCGTCGCCAGTAGTATCATTATTATTATTATCAGTGATCGTTCCAATCGACCGATTTACCTTTCGTCATCGCGACTGTTTCATTCCCTTTTCGTCCGTCTCCTTCTTCATTCCTCAATGCATTCACTGCTCCATCCTTCATGCACTCGTAACAAGTAATTACCACAATCATCATCATCATCACTAAATCTCATTTGTGATATCTGACAGCCAGTTGGTCCATTGGTTGTCCCGTCTAATTCATTCATCTATGTTTCTTATTCCATTCTCATCCCTTCCTCAACATCTTCAAACTAACCTATTGCCTGTCTACATGTCCATTCAGTGCAGCCCAAAATTAGCAATCAAAACATTTAAACAGATGAATTTATTGTATATAGCTTTATGTGCAAACATATCCCCTCCAACCACAATATCGAAGCGCTAATCTCGTTTTCGCAATCGCATATCAAACCGTTTCAGCTGTCAACCGGTCAGTTGTCTCACATCTGGTTTTATAAATCAGATTGATTCGTCATTCAACATCCTTCTCCTTCTTGATACCGGCTGTGATAATATTGTTGTTCAAATCGAAAACACATATTCGTCCTTTCATTTCGTGCATAAAATCGATCCAAATCCAATTCAACTCAGCAACATAATCACTTCATCATGGCTACATTATGGGAATTAATCGTTTTGCATGATGCATTTGAACAAAATCTGAATTTTATAAAAAGTTGAAAAAATCTAAATCCAATCGAAAATACGAAATTTCCAATTCAGGTTCGGAAAGAAATTGTCATGTAGTTCTCAGTTCCGGTTACTAAATGTTGCTGTGATTTTTTTAAAAATTGAGAATCAAAAACAATTTTGATTTCGGAGCTTGAGCATCACTGCTTATGGCACACACGTGCAACGTTTATTGTGACTGATAAACAAATTGTGAGTTATGACAATGAATTACTGTTAAATTACTTATACGCGTTTTACAGAGGTAGAAGGGGGAAGGGGCGCGGGAGCCTCGCGGAGGACTTTATGAGAATGTGAGTCCCCGCGAGCGTACTTCTGGAGAGTTATGAGAGATTATTTCATTAGTTCTGAACATTAGACCAGACCATTTTGCTCTCCCTCCCCCCCCCCGGGACTTCGAGAAAAATCCTATCTACGCCAATACTGCCAGAAATTAATGTCTTCCTAAAAGCTTGAACAGATAGAATTCTCGATAAAAGGAAACACAACAATCGTAAAACGCCTGTCAATAGCCACCGTATCAGTCATCACTCTACGATGAATCAATGGTAGAGACGATTCAACATCAAATACAATAAGCATTAACTTTAGAACGCTAAGAATACATTCAGATTTAATGAACAATAAAATCGCCATCTCAGTCTCGACAATAGACCCAAAAATTCCGATCAAACAACAACGAAAAAAGTACATAAGCAATTGAGCAACTCAACAAATTTACACTACTCGTAATAACACATCACCACCGCACACATAATATGTAAATGTACAATGAATTACCCATCAAATATCGATTATATCGACTGTGTGATTAAAACAGAAATACTTAATGTTCTCAATGAACAATCCAACTAATTTTGCAAAAAAAAAGACATTAGTTTAGGATTAGGGATAAAATTGATCAGGTTCGGCTAAGATTTAGATCTTCATTCAGACGGACCGATGGACAACAGAGCATTTTGACGTGACCAAGAGACTACTTGTGTAGTGGTTAGCTGAAACATGAAACTACGTGAACGGTCTCTTTTTAACTGTCGAATTTCTATTAGTCGAATACTGATCGAATATGGATTGATTACTGGGAGCAATATCAACACTTTCTTGACAAATGGTACATGACATCATGAAGAAACTGTAGAATTACTCCGTATGCTTTATCGTTCGGTCCAGAAGGCTTGCATATGTTGTAGTGAATCTGGAAATAGATCACCTTAATTGCATTGAATCAGAATTCATTTCAATTCTAAAGATGTTTATTACAGTGACAATCAATAAACAAAGATGCTCACATCACGAATATGGTACAGTGGTCCACGCTCAAAGAACGCACTCTCAGATGGAACAAGAATGCCGCGTTGACGCAATATTAATGGCGAATCTTCAGTTTCGGCCATTGAACAAATCACCGCAATTGACGGACATATCCGAAGGAAATCCTCATGAAGCTGAAACAAATTGCGATGATTATTCGCAAAGATTTCTTTCGTAGTGCTCAGAAGGCATCAATTTTCTATCCACCAAACACGCATAAATTTCCATGTTAAAAACGAAAGACGCTGTGTCCCTTTTGAAAATGAGAGACACATTTAGCCATAATCTAATCAGCCTTTTGGCCGTGCAATTGCGACAAAAAGTAGTTGGACTCTGCGATATGCATTATACAGCTGGAAGTAACCAACCTTTTTGTTGGTTTCGTTTTGTAACGACAGTAAGAGAACATCATCGGTGGGTCGTATGGCAAAGCGTAATGCGTATCTTGCGAGTGGACTACCTCGATGAGGCGTTGCAATAAACATCACTCCAATGGTTTGCCGCAACATCTCTTCATCATCAACCATCAAACGTTTCACTAACAAACCACCTGCAATCTCAATCCTATCCTAACAAAAATAATAATATTGTTCTCAAAACTGACATCACGTAACTATATTCGTTGAATATAATCGAAAAAGCCGTAGCACATTTTCATGTTGAAACTATTCAAGAGACGACACACACTAGCACCAATACTTCACTTTCAAGTCATTATCTATGTGCCATTGCAGTCATCGTGCTGGCGCAAAGAAAAGAAACTCACCCATACTGTGACCAACAAAAACGATTGGTCGACGCCCAACACCAGCCGCTTTCAGTTGTTTTCGGAAACGACTGGAACGTTCCGATAGTGTTTCCACAGAGCCACGGCGGATATTCGAAATTGACGACGGATAATCCAAAGCCAAAATGCGTATTGGTTTGTGCAAGTCATATGGAAGCCATGACTACAAAATATCTGGCTCAATTCATTTCTGCGATCCTGTTATATTTATAAGATCATTATTGTTATCGTATTTATGACACAATTATTGGGTTTATGTGAGCAAATTGGAAATTAATCAAGTACCCTTGGCCAACATCGCGTTCTTAGTAGGTCATTTGGATCATCCTTGGCTCGCCACGTACGAAAGACACCGCCACGTAAGCCATGCACGAAAATCAAATCGACGACTGGCTCTTGGTTCACATCGTCGGATCGATACAACTGATAAACATCCGTTTCAAATCGAACATCTGACTTAGTCAGCACGCTAATTGCATTTAAGCACACCTGACAGAGAGACGAATGTCATTGAAATTGTCATGAAATGAAACACAATCATTCCTTAATTTTGAGTGCACCACTTTCGTACATAATTCATCACTTTCAACAATAATATACCTCCTAAAAATCGAATCACCAAATCCATAATAACGAACAGCAAGTTGGAAGTGGACAAATGCATGGATGGAATAAATGTTCGAAGGATGAATTAACGAATGACATTTAACGTAGCCATGGCAAACAGACAAATGAGTCGAGAACAAAACGATGCGATACAAACGATATGCGAGATAGAAAAGAAGAACCTTTTCAGCCAGAAGATTCTCTTCTAATGAATTCATCGAAACCATAGCTGCTAATCGTTGTAACCATTCTAAAATGAGAGTGAGCATTTCAATTATTACTAATGATTACAATACAAGTGCATTTTTTGATAATAACCTTGCGAAAGTTTAATGCAAAGATGTGTGAATATCGTTTCGCGATCGATTTCATGAGATCTAACGACGAACAATCTCGCGTACCCGATTCAGCAACAGCCATTGAGCATTTTTCACTTTGCATAACAATATTTGCGAGTAATTTCATTGCGCTAATAAAAAGATCACGATTGCAAGCAGCAAAACGCGTACACAAATCGAACAGAATCGATAGAATGCCTTGCTCGATTAACTCTTCACCGAAACCATTCTACAAAATCAATGTAACACCTTATATATCACCCTTCATTCATCCACAATAAGAATACTAGATAAATTCGATTGCTTTTTCCTTCAACCTGATGTGTAATGTCCCTTTCAAAGCAAATGTGCAACAAGAGCTTTTGAAATCAAATACACATAAATGATAGTCATAATTGATGATTAAATGAATACGCGCATCAATCAGCCAACAACCCACTCACCTCACATTTTGCAATCAATACCGTCAAAAGTCGATTCAATTTAGCTTCTTGTCCGGATCGTCTTCCGATCATGTCGTCACCACACGCTAAATCACTCTCATCACATATGTGCGTCACTGACCATCGCATCAATTTTGTCCACTCCCCATCTAATTGTAACTGCAATCATCAACGCTTCGCACATATGTGATAGCAAAATTAACCGGTGGGAGGAATTCACCATTTTCCGGTAACTTGACAGTGTCGGGAGATAATGGAGGGGGGAGGGATCGGGAAAGTGATTGTGACATTATGCGTAGATTATTGTAGCGGGAGAGGAGGTGGCAAGAGGTACTGATGGCCTCCAGATCATCGAAATGGTTAAGAAAACACGCACCCGAGCGTGCACATCACTGTTGAGAAACAAAATTCTTAGCAGTCTTTGTGCACTTTAAAACGATGTACAAATCAAAAACCTTTTTAATCGCATCTTCTAACTGCAACGGCGTTCTTGGCTCACGATGCGAGATCAACAAGATCGGTGCACAAACTGCACTTCCCTTTAAAGCTAAACGAAAATTGTGCACAGCATTGCGCTGTTGTTCGATTGTTTCATTCCTCAACTGTGCTCTTGCTGACGACGGCGTTGCTGTTATATTAGTAGTAGTAGTAGTAGGAGTAGTGGCATCTGAATTCGATGCAAATTCTCAGTTAAAACTTCTTGATTTGATGGACTATTGTGGACAAATAGGAAACCAACAAATTCTACCTAAAAACACTCGATTGAATGTGATAGTGATTCAATCGCAGTGAACACAAGAGAATAGAAGAGATGTCAACTCATTACGAGTGTATGAAGCTCACTCTAGAAGAGGCAACTATAAAACTTTGAGTGATGATGAAACAAAAAAATTGAACTTGAATACGTTGATTGCTTGATTCAACAGGTTGCGATAGCTGTGTAGATTTGCTGATGTCGAAATGTTTGCTAGTAAAATGTTTCGAGACTGTATCAACATCATTACTGTTCACAGTTGCTTCTGGTGATATGGTTGTTGTTGTTGTTGCTGTGGACGAATCTTTATTGTGTCGTTTGAATACCGTGAACACACTTCTGAACAACACTCAATGCGATTTGCATCTAATCAATCAAGCCATATAATTACTAATCTATCTATTCGATGAAAGCAGAAAACTCACTTGTTCACTTACTATTTGTTGCCAATATTTACGATCAGACGAGTTAAAACAAAGCAAAGAATCAATGAACAAACCCCAAACTTAATGGGACGACTGCAAACGATACAAATCGATGAAACATTGAGTCGGATATTCAAAAGTCTACCATATGACGAGAAGTTAGTTGCAAGTAGCACATCACATCACCATCACCGTCGAATCATTAAGCCACTTAATGAAATTTGTTTACTGCCACTGCTACTATTTGCTTTCGAATCTAAATCACCATTTCCGATCAATGTATAACCAAGCTTCGATGCATCATCCTTCACAACCAAATTCCCTTCCCTTGTTCAATTTCAGTCAAGAGCTTGCACGAGCTTTACTGATTCTCATCACATACCAATTAGCCGTCTGACAGCTAACACAAGCTGTCGATACTAAATATCTTTAGATCATAAAATAGCCAATACATTCTCCCGCTCACGCACACCAACCAAAGTATGCAAACATTATACACTTACTTTTCATGAGTGAAGAGCATAAACTTATCTGATGATATAAGTTTATACTCAATTTGATTTTGTATTCGAATCAAATACAGACCCTTCAACAAAGACTATAGGTTTTCATGTGGATAACAAAAATGGTTTCGATTGAAACGTTGGAAAAAATTGGCCGATTAGTTGACAAAGTTACACTGAACAAGAAATTAATGAAGTGAATTCGACAAATCCGAAACAGGAAGAAATCATTTAATATATTATTATACAGAGATGATCATTCATTCAGATAGTACACATTCAGTATATATCATTAATTTTCGATTCTTCACAATGATTGATAACAAATCTGAAAATAACAACAAATCTGCGAAAATAATACATACATACAACTGTATGTGAAAATCATATGCGAGCGAGGAAATTCACTAGTGAAAATATAATCAAAATGATAATAATAACGATCATGATATTCATGAGAAAAACAATCATCATAATGATAAAAATATTGGACGAAAAAACAACAATAACAAAACTACACCTTAAAACGTCATCTATGACATGCGCACACACTCAAGTTCACATCACATCAACAAACCAATCTAACGCAAACTTTCGTTTGTATATACTTAACATAAACAAAAGGAAATTCACTTTGTGAAAATAAAAACAACACTTGATCCTTCTGTGATGCAAATATTACAACACTACGAAAAGAGAATGAAATTGTAAAAATATCTGCTCACTGATAGATAAATTGTTGCACACCAACAACAACAAATACGATTGATTGCTATAGCTCAAAGACGTGGTATTGGTTGACAAATTGAAAACTGATCAACGTACGAAGAAAATTACCATATCTCCAACAGTGATAACAACAATGATTATAAACTACAAAATAACAGCAATATCAAAGATTTAAAAAAAAAGAAAATCTATACTGCAAAAATATTTAGCATTTAGATAACAAAATTTTTCTTTTTTGGCTATTTAAGATAACACAATGTTACAAATAATCCACACACACACACAAACATTTAGTTGAAACGATCAACAGCCATCTCGCACATCAAATGAGTGATGAAAAAATCACAAGAAAAATCGAATTATTCAAATCGATATAAACAACGCAACAACAAATTATACAGAACCAAAATGAAAGAAACCAAATCAGTTCGAATAAAATGAACAACGACAATAACATATCACCATCATCATTACGATGAAAGTACGTAATCGTATATCGCATCCACTATAAAACAGATAAAAAATTATCCACTGTATCATTATTATACTTTTCATATCATTATTACTACCATAAATGAATGAACGAATGAGTACAGACAGCAGCTCTTACAGAACGTTAATACTTAGTTGGCCGTATGCTCGGCCGAATCGCACCTACTTATAATAGCTGAATAGAGCACTTGAAAGGAACGCTTTTCTTTTTGCAAAAATCAATCGGTTTGAAGAGAAAATCATTCCTGCCAAACATTTACAATAATAGTTCAGTTAGCGGAATAATCAGCCTCGGGTTTCATCAATGATTGTGGGAGTGTGAGCGCAAAAGAAGAGCATTAATTACGACCCGGGTATTTGCTGCTGAGTAAACGAGCAATTCGAAGGGCATCTTCAAGAGTGAAAGCACGCCTTAATGGTTTGTGGTCGTTTCCCTATTTACAAGACTACATGTAGTGCAATAACAACAACAACAATAATCGCTCCATAGTAAACAAACTTCTAAAAATACTACTGCTATTGTGGTGGTGTGCACGGTGTACAAGGTGGAACGTCGGGTGATTCATCCATGAAGTTACCTATTTCAATTGGTTCCGATCTGCTATGTGTGGCCATCGCCGCAGATGTTCCAATTGTTGCAGTAGCATTTTGAAGCTGAAAATTTACTTATTCACCAGTGCTGATAACGATAATCATTCAGTTGTTCAAGCAAACCAAACTTTTTGATCACCTGAGGTAATCGACTAACAACCGCGTTGTATAATGAACAACTTCCGTTGGGACTTGCTGGAGAGTCATACGATAAATTATCCATACTACCACCAACACTGGGCACACACTCGAAATTCCCACCACAAAAACCCTGAAAGCTATTAGTTGCTGATGTCACAAAAACGCTTATTAATAAACCCTTTACCAGCCAAACATATGATAATTAATTGTAAACTGAAGGGCACGATTCGTTCGCTAATAAGTCGTCAAACTCGAATAATTTATTCAATTCGTTCCTTTATCAGTTAAGACGTTCGACTAAATTAGAGAACAGTTGACATACATCACGTTCAGAATTACTGCGTAAACGTGTCATATTTGATGAAGCAGTGGATGAGGAACTGCTCGCAAATGGATTCCTTATTTGTTGCTGCTCAGATGTTTGTGGACGAACACCCAGCGGCGCACACGCTAACTGTTGTGTGATATCCAGTATGCCCATATCGTCCACTGTTATAATGCACCAAATTGATTCTGCATAAAAAATTACATGATACACCGGACAACTAACTATAATAAATTCACTGAAAATTTGGTGATGGTGTTCTTGATTGCATTGTTAACAAAAGAAATAAAACAACAAAACAGTTAAACCTACCTCCAAATGGAATACCATTACTAGTGTTCAACTGCCATCTACTCTGATAGATTCCTTTCGCTGCTGGACTCATCATATCCACGCTGACGTTACCCTCTTCACCAGCTCTCAATGGCTGCACCCATGATCTAGTCACTTCACTCAATTTGTCCCCTTCAAAATACACAATAAATGGTCATCAAATCGGCACATTACTCAATCAAATACACAATTATACACATATGCATATGGGCAACGAACCTTCCATGAATGCTATGTAACATCCAGCTGGCCAACACTCTAAACCATTGTTTCGTACACGCCACGTTTTAACGAAACGTGTCGATGGCGGAACACTTTCACCCTTCAACAATATCTTCTGATTTCGATTTCTAGTTCCATCAACAGTGGTTATAAAAACGGTAACAATAAGGGCAATTTTATTTTTAACGTATTTATGGACGGAGGCGGGGTGCTATAAGCCTCGATATCAACTCTGGATGAGATGGATCTCGGTTTCAGGGCAAATCTTAGGCTATAACCCCCATGGTCAGTCAGAGCCAAGAGGTGCGTTTAGCGTCTTGAATGGAGAATTTGTCTTCGATTAATGCATGAAACGGAGGATCTGTGACTAAGAAATTTGGAAGGAAGTAGTTGATTAAACGGATAAATACCTCGCCAATAGTAATATCCTGAACGAACTGCATTGACGGTAAACGAGTAGTGTATTCCGGTGGAGGCATACCGATTGTATTTGGTGAACCATAATCGTAATACGCTCCTAGCGCAGCATTCAAATTCCTTAATTGCAACACTAAAGTAATGTTATCTTAATGAAATTTCAGGTAAAATGTGAAGAACTTCAGACAGATTCTTCGATGAGCTGTAGAGTTTTCTTCAACTACAGTGTAACGGTTGAGGGGAAGGGAACAAAAAATGAGACGAATGATATAAAGTGGGTAAATAAAAATGAAATGAAAGAGAACGATAGAAGAATTTACAAACCAATTGTTCATATCAAGAAAGAAGGCACATGCTTCCGGTGTAAGAACATGATTCTCACCGAGGATGTTCTGAAACTGTCGAATCAAAACCTCCTTATCATTTGTGGCCATGCATGAAAGCGCTTGCGCCAATGAGCCGTCAACATCCCCATCAACGTCCATTTGATGATATTAAAACAACAACAAACTAAACACTGAAAAATCATATCGATCAAAATGAGTGATAGTAACAGATGAGTTATCATAAGAAAAAAACTACACTGAAATTTGTTTACAACTATTTTACTGATGGTCACTGCATGATGGTACTACATAATGTTTTGTGCAGTGAATTTGAACGCATACTTTGATTAATTTTGCACAAATTGAAGAGGACATCGGAGCAGCGATCACATAAACAGCGATTTTTAAACGTATGCTCAGTTAGGCGAAGAAGTTAAATCGAAATAATGACTCGTTTAAACACACAACAATCATATCTAAGCAATAGTCGAAAATATAATTGAAAACATTTCCAAAAATCATTTGACAACACCATAATACAGAAAATACCCCTCAAAACACTTCAATAAGTCTAGAGGCACGATCGAGAACAGCACAAATCGTTGAACACTTAAATGACAGACAGCGTAAATGATATTTATCAAAACATCATCATCATGTTGCTTAAACATTACCCCCCACAACCATCAAGAAATGCAACACGATTGGATTACTCGAAAAACGCCACCTAAAACTAAGCATCATCCCGTGTTCCCCACAAACGAACAACAACAACTCCAACAACAAAGTAAATCCCCTCCCCAACTTAGTACCACAACAATGAAATAAACAAATAAGACCCACAAAAACGTTCGCAACACAATTTTTCTTTCGTAATAGTTCAACAACGTCTACAATGGATAAATCCGCTAATGGTGTTACGAACACTTCGCCATTTCTCTCTGCTGAGTCTGCCCGGTACACTCACTCTAAATGTCGTTTGCAAATTGCAATTTGCAAACGACGGCATTTAGAGTGAGTGTACTGGGCAGACAGATGACAGCAGCAACAAAATTGAGATCTTCAAAACAAATGCACGAAATGCACGGATTTCCTCATCTCAACTTTGTTCACATTAAAGAAGTGATGATGATGTTGAAACTGATTCATTGGTCATCATTTGCAAGACTTACGATCAGCTCGGAATAAAAATTATTTGATTGACAGTCAGCTTCAAAAATTAATTTTAATCATCTCTCAACGAAGAACGTAAGGCCTCCTCCAGCTTGAGATGCGACGACCTCATATTTCATATAAACCAAAAAATTAGTGTAATTTCAAATTGAATTCGAACGTTTTTAACGACACCTGAATTTGCGACAAGTTGTGTTGACGCCATTTGCAATTACACACTAATAGACAACGTGCACTTGCTTGAGCTAACCTCAGCTTTTTTCACCACTTAACCATTTTTCATGTCAGTGTTTCCACAATGGACTGCTCAGTTTTTGGCTTCTTGTAGCCGTTAGTTTTGATTCTTTGTTCATTCCGTGTTTCCGTTTGCTTGTACGGATTTTTACATGAGCTGTTGTCTTCTCTCTAATCAGTGGAATTCGCGATTCATTTGTTCTTTGTTCATTTGCCCTTTATTCCTATCATCAAAACTTTTGATAGGAATGCCCGGCTCAAAAAAAGCAAGAACGCTCAAGAGTGACGCTTTAGCAGCAGCAAAAAAGGTACTTGTTGAATATGTCGTCGGATTGATTTACTAGATAATTAATCAGGTACAATTAGGCGATTCTACTTCTTGATCGTATCGTATTATTGTTTGTTGGTTGTTCCGTTATTTCTTTTCGTTATTTTACTGTATTCAGTATTCAATAGTTTGTATTCAGTGTTCTTCTAAAATTGAATACTGCCGGTGTGAAAAAGAAGAAAGAATCTTTCGAATGGCGAGGAAAAACTGAAGTGTGATTTTAAATGTATTTCAACCATGATAAGAAATTTACATGGAACTAACATGGGCAATTAAATGAATTCAAATTATGCGTTGCTTCAGCGTTCGAGGAACGAAGATTGCAAAGAAATACTGTTTTTGCATGAACCTAATGTTAATAGTGTTCTTATTATTATTGTTACTATTCTCATTATCTGAAGATTGATATCGACTGCTTTTTCATAGTGATGATTATTATGTTACAAGTGTTTATGCTATAATTTCGTTATTATTGTTCTAGCAGTCGCGACCAAACCAGAAACCATCACAAGTGGAGCAGCATTACGAAGATGATTCGGCAGGGTACACGTCCGATCCAGAACTACTCGCTGAGGCTGAATATGCACGTCAACAGAGTCAATCGTTGCCAGAACCAGTTTCAGTGTTAGATGCCATCAAACGAGAAGAGAACACTTCGATAAGAGGTTTTTTATATGTCTTTGAGCTACTCACTCTTCCCTCGTTATTTTTTTTTGTTTTTACTCGATTCCAATCACGTTCTTTTCTTGAAATTGAACAAATGATAATTGATCATTTAACTCAAAAGCAATGAAAAAATAATCAAATTCGAAGTAAATCGAAATCATTATTATTATCATAAGTACTACTAATACAATCATTAAAACTCAAGTAACCGAAAGTCAAACGAGAGTGTCCGAATCGACTACGCATGCATTTAGACAACAGCAAGCGCGTGCTGCTAGAAAAGCTCGTGGAAGAGGTGTTTCGGGTGAAATGTCGAAGAAAGGCAACATGAGAAGTTCGTTTTCAATTCATTCAGTTTATGTTGAAAAGTATTTTCGATTGTTATTTTGGTTGTTGTTGTGTTGTTGCTGTCGTCGTTGATGAACTTTTAAGGTCATCGAATTTCAAACTTAATTTCATATAATTTCATTATTTTCAATAATAATAGTGAAAGGACGTTGGGTAGATGATCTAATGGATGACTATGATGAAGAAGACGGCGAGTATTATGATGAGGAAGAGGAACAAGACGAAGAGTTTGGACAGTCTGCATCTTATTATGAAACTACGCACGGTCTTTCAAATGACACACAAAATGTGGAACGCCAAGCACCTGGTTTCTGTTTAATCAATCATTCACTTCATCTGTTTTTACATATCACTGTTTTAATTGTTATTTGTGTATGTGTTTATTTTTACAGATGCGCAATCAGATACTGCAAACGATACGACAAACAATGTGAAAAGTTTGGTTGAACCGTTCGAGCAAATATCGGTCTGTTATGCTTTTGTTTTCTGAATGCTGAATCCTGTTCAATTTATTTTCAAATCAATCTCTCGCATTGTTTAGATTCAAAACGATACAAAAAAACAAGCAACAAGTGCACAAGTGAACGAGGAGAAGAAGGAGCAAAATGTTGATGATGATAAAAATGAGGATGATAAAGGCAAAAAGGATGGCGCGAGAAAATATGATGACAGTGATAAAGGGGAAAAAAAGAGGAATGATGGAAACGATCCGGAATGGGGAGAATTTTAGTAGAATCAGATAATGAACTGATCTCATTGTTTTGTTTAAGGAGAGATATTATTGAGTGGAATGCAAGAAGTTTAAATGGAGCAGTGATCAGAAATATTGGCTTTGTCGTGAAACTGATAGAAATTGCATTTGAAGTAGTAGTTCTTTGGGAGTGCCCATTTTTTGTCTGATTGACATCTCATCGCAAGATGCCTTGAAAGATCAGGTGAAAGACACGAAAAACTTTTGAAATGACAACTTTGAAATGTGATCCAAAATGATTGTTGAAGTGTTCATCGCAAAACCAACACGCAAGTAAATCGTTCGCATTTTTCGTATCTTATCAAATCGTGTCACAATTTCACCAAAACGATATCCGATATTAAAAAAATCGGTATCGTTATCGTTGTTCTCAATTGATCAGCGTTTCTGTCATAGCTCACAATGAATTCACGTTGCCTTTTCATACAAATTATCAACCTAAAGTTGCCTACTCACTTGCTTTACAGCACTCATCATTCGTACTAATGACGACTGAATAGTATTTTCGTTTCGTACCACTTTGATTGTATAATTCGTCACTTTTCATTTCTTCAGTTGTGTTTGTTTATGATGGGTGATCACGACGATCTTAACTGAGCACACTAGCAAAGTGTTGCTGGTTGTTTTGTTTTATTCTTTAAGTTAATGATAATATTTCAGTGATGATTATTATGTTGTCAATAACTCAATTGTTGTTTTTTTAATCGTACGTTTGATTTTACTGTTTTTAACAAAATTTATTGTTTTCCTCCCGTTCCCTGTCCAATTATTTTTTGTGCTACCGTTTACCTTATATTATTATGATATCCTATGCTATTTTATTTGTTATAATCTGTTCTGTTACGTTTTACCGTCATTATGTATGTATTGTTTGACAAGTTATCTTAAGAGAGGTATGTACTGATTATTTGATCTTACATTTCTGTTTCATCTTATGACAAGTTGCATTCCTTCATGCTTTTCCATCACTATGTATATATATATTCTTCATTTATGGTCAACTGTTTTATATGTTTCCCTAATAGTTAGCTTGCAGAGGATAGTAATAATATAGTGTTGAATGTGGAGAGCCAAGCGTTAACCTGAACAGTATTTTCGTGGTGAAATTCAGAGTTTGTGGAGGTTTGCGTTTATTACTTCTTACTTATAACATGTGCAATATTGGTTGCTGTTGTAAATTATTTTACAGTTTATTCAATTTATATTTTATCCGTTATAATTCATTCACATATTCTTGAACCATTTGAAAATATCTTACCACACAATATAATCGCGTTTCTCTAGTGACCGCTGTACTAAATAATTTTCTTTTCATATTGTTCATACAATGTTGATATTTTGTTGTTGTTGTTGTTGTTATGTTAGAAATGTTTTGCTTCATTGTTTTATAAATTCAAAAGTCATTTGTGTCAATCCATATAATTTTGTATATGCTTGTTTAGGAACGTATTTTAATAATTAACTATTGTTATTGTTATTGATGTCGAACAACGATCACCCGAAATAAAATAATATCTCATCAAAACCACCATCATCACACTACACAATCACTTAGTGTTATATTAGACACTTCATTCTTACGATTATTATCATTATAGTGGCAATGAAACTTCATAATTCAATTATGTACTTACCTTCTCAGATTTTTTACTAGTGCTGCCACGTTTTCACTTTGAGTTCATTTAAGATTATCACCGTGGTTACCAATACTAGCAGTAGTGCCTGTTATCACTAGTATTGAACATTCAGAGAATGAGTATGATGAATTCTTGGTGAACACTCAATTTGAACTACAAATGAACAATCGATTTAATGAATCCGCTTACAAAGGAAATAAACATAATAAAATTAAATAAGGATAGACCAGTTTGCAATCGCCAAATGTACAAGACATATTATATCATCTATACAAAACTCTTAACATTTTCTTATCGGTTTCATTTTAAGAAAACGTATTAATACTCACACAAGCACATACAGAGTACGACTCAAGAAATTTGTCTCATTTACGATGTGTTCGTTGAAAGCAATCGTTATGTTAAGGTTGATAGTGATGGTAAATTGATCTTATCAAAAGTCATTTTTATGCTTCTCATAATTCGTTTATACCGTATAAATTCCAAGTTTTTCGATCAAAACCCGACGGATGAAGCCCATTTTCATAATTTCGGACATTCGTACGTGGAAATCAAAATTTGTCATGAACAAAATTTCGTCAGTCACCATCACTGATAGTTGGTGGTTGAGTAGTGGTTGTGAAAGAACGAAATTATATGCTCTGAAAAACAAAGTTACAAAAAATATGATTAGAAAAGATTAGAGTAATATATCGAAGAACGAACGCATAAGCAAACGATAAGATAATTGGAATCGAAATGAAGAAAAAATAAAAACAAGAATAAAAAATATGATTGATAAAATACGCAATTGATAGAATATGAATGTGAACAAGCAATCGGCTAAGAAAATTTTTAAAAGAACTCGCCGAGAATTACAGAAAAAAATCGTACGCGCACCAATCATTCTACAAAATAAGCGTTGTTGATAACGATAAAGATAAAACAGTTCTTCACAATGGGAATAAAGCGAACAATAACACGGTCAATCGCATGCTAACATCCACATCAATTACATTTAGCCTCAATTAATCAACAACCCATACATGTACGTAGGTATAATGAACAATCAAAAAATGCCACGAGATCTGTCTGCATAATAAAAGTTCAAGAACATTTAAATTGCGTCATACACACGAAAAAAAAAACCGAATGGAACCGTTAAAAAACAAAAAACGACAACGCATTTTGCACTCACTGGTCGTAATGCGTTGACGAGAAAAACTATTATGTAAAAGATATCAAAGAAAAATGAATATAATAAAGACTACTAATATAAGATCAGATAATCGCATTCAAAAATAATAACAGAAACAACCACAAAAATCAGCTCTCATAACCATCATCATCAATAATAATATTCATCACAATAATATTCAGGTTGACCAATAGCTGCTGTCCCCTCTTTTGATATTCATACAATAGATATCACACATAAACATGATGTATCGTGTTGAAATTAATAAATAAACAAAGAAAGAGATATATAAATTAGTAATTAAACGAATGGATATAACTGGAACTGAATTAACAGCAACTATGACAATAACAACAATAATAATGATAATGAAACGCTCAAAAAACACTATGTACCTTGTGCCTTCAAACGTAAATAACAACCTTGACAGACCCGTACTGGTTTCGTTATCTTCATATGCTTTATATCAGATTCGAATCGACTACATCTAAAAACGAACTGTGAATATTTGATGAAAACACAAATGAACCATCAGAAGATTTGTAAAGAAATGAAACGAACCTACTACAAAAGATATGACCACAATTACGACAATGATGTCGACGTTCAGCGATCGAGAAACGCTGTTGACACTGTGTGCAACAACTACGACTCGGGTCTTGTACCCAGTGATCAGCTCGCGAACCGATCTCATCACCCATTTGCCACTGCCATACACGACCCACTCCGTCACCGACGAACAACGACTTATGATCTCTGAATCGAATCGATTTCAATATATGGGTACAATTTAACGGTATCCGCTTGAACAATCAGTCTCTTGTGAAGCAGACCAAAATACACTCATTGAATTTACTTGGATGGCGCAATGGCAGTGATCGGTGCTGGGCGGAGGTTATCCTTTCGGAAGAAAGCCGTGTGCGTTGTTAATGATGCACGTGGCACAAGCATCGGTTGCCAGTTACGACATCCTGCATTATTTGCACTAGAAACGTCTGATTGTTGCTGTTGCTGTGACCACTTTCGAGTACTATTCAGCTGGAATACAATAAATGCTTCTAGCAGAAATTAGTGATATCACATCATAACAACGATAAAATGATACAGTTGATGCTCGAGCATAACAGAGCGAACATAGACACGAATCAGTGAACAAACCGTATCCCAAACAAGTGATGAAGTTGTTGCAGTGGAACTATTTTGATCAGTTGCTGCAGTTCCAGTCCCAGTTCCACCTCCGGCGACTGCAACACCAGCACTAGAAGAACATTCATAAACAGCTGCAGGACTATTTATTGACGATCGTTCTGGTGAATCCACTTGACTTTCGGCTGAAGGCGTATCCAACGAACTACCCGATGAACCCATCCGCAGACGTTTACGTTGCTTCTCAAGATGTTGTTGAAGTGTTGCAGCGGCTGTTATTGACGGTTGGGCGTTTTTTTGAGTGTTTCTGAATATTGTCATTGATTACCATCTATCCGTCTTTCATTCATTCAAAAGAGCAGGAGATCAATGAACTCTGAACAGTCTAACGTTGCGTGATGAGGTTCAGTGCTGGACTGTGTGCAATAGTCATGCGCGTTTGTATTTTCAGCTTCAACCATTTCAATCGAATAGATACGAACAACCCCATCACTCCCACCACACATTATCACATTTTGTTCATCCCATTCATTCATCTGTAAATTCGAATTCATTCCTTTTAGAACTAATCCAACATTCGACGTCTTGTTATTTTAACTTAGACGTCGCGTTGCTCCTTCCACCTTATTCCAGCACAATATTTTCTTCATAATTTTCAATGTGGAGAATCCTTCAGACCTACCATATCTAACCATGGAGTCGCAGATAACTCGTAAGGTAGTAGATTAGCAATAATAATAATAATAAAATGGAACCGTACCGTTGAAAATGCAATTGCAAGAACAACATTGGGAATATGTTCGATATAAGATGAATCAATACTATTCACAACGCTTAAAAGTTGTCCATTGATAGACCATACAAAGAGAAGTGATGACGACGCTGTTGCTATATCACCCTTTAATGCACATTCATTCGTGTAAAAAAATATAAATTGTCGTTTTACTTCTCATTTTCGTGCAAAAAAAATCGCCCACTCAAAGTTTACTTTTTCATCCAGTGCTTTCGAAAAAGATTTCTGCAAAAAGATTTCCTTGTTCAAAATAAATTCTTTCAGTTCACCAATGACGTCTGAACAACAAACCGTGACCCGACAATCTGCCTAAAGACGTTTTGCCTAAGGACAGTTTGCCTAACGGACGGTTTTTTAACGGATATTTTGCCTAATAGGCAAACTGTTTTTGAGCAAATTATCCTTAGGCAAAACACTTTAGGCAAACTGTGCGGTCACCATGATAAACAACACTTACAGTTGTATCGTTGACGGCGATTGCGGTCACTGCTGACGGATGTGGTCGTAGTTGACGAATGAATGTCAACGCACTGAGATGCCACAGAATTGCGGTACAATCACGACTTGCACTCACTAACAGTGTTTGTGCATTACAGACCAGTAATGCGGTAATTGCTTCTGTGTGAGCACTCAAAATTCGTCGTGGTCTTATTTTCAACGGTAACGATCGCTCGGCACTCATATTCCACACACAAATGGTGCCCATTGTCGAGCCACTAAACAACGTCCGTGAATCACCGCACGCACAACACGTCACCTCAGCACTCTCACACAGTTCGTGTATGGATTGTGACTGCAACAAGCACGTGCAATTAACAATAAACAACAAACAAAACGTATTTCATTCGTATTCTTTACCGCACTTCATCCACTTCCAACAATACACAATCTACATATACGAGTTAAGTATAGATCGACTCATAAAAACAGAAACATTAATGTTAGTAACAATAGCTAGCTAGCATAATTCTGAGAGTTACGGTTTATTCACTCATTTACCACCCATCTGACGAAGACGAATAACTTGTTGATTCGGTAATCGAACAAATTATTAGTAAGTAAAGCAGTCTTCGTCAACGATTTAGTCATATTCAATTAAAAATATTAGAAAATAAGGAAATGAAAAATGTCGTTGATATATTATGACGAATGTGATATCAACTGACTTTTTCACTGTCCACAATGCCGATCCGTATGCTACGATCCGGGAAACCCCACGACAAATAACGATTTGCCGAGAGCAGCACACGATTTGCTTCCAACGCTAGAACACCACCCTTTTCGAGTGCATGTAGAATGCCAACAGCTGACTTCAATTCTGCAATTAAATGAAATGCATTCAACGAGGAAATCATCAAATAAAAGAAGCGATCAAGTGAAATCAAATAAGAACAAGCCTTTGACTGGTTGCTGTGGTACTTTCAAACAATCCAATGAATGATAGAAGAGGCGTTGTGTGGTAACACCAGCCGTTGAAGCATATGAATCGGTGAAGGCGACCTTCTTTTGTGGATGCGGTTTTTTGAAGAGTTGAGTGGGAATTTGACCGAAATTATTGATGAAACCAATTGTTGCGTTTCTTCAAAATCATTTATTACTATTGAACAACCTTGCAACAATCACAAATGAACAAAAAACAATTCACCTCGTCAACGGGTCATCAATATTTTCAAAGTCCACATTGCCTTCGTAGAATAGATGATGATAGACATTGAACGACTCAACAGCCGCTTCACCACATTGTTTGTAACCAAATATCAAATCAATCCAATTGTGCAGATTTGCTGACACATAATCACATTCGAGTGCCTTAGTATGGTAATAGTAAGAATACGAATCGTTTTTTGAAGGCAATATTGATGCATAGACAACAAGAGAGGATGAAATGGATGGCTAATATACACCTGTCGATGTATGCGAACGAACTCGTGTGGATCACCTTTCGCCCACCTCGGCAAGACCACATCATCAAGCGTGATACCGTTCTGTTTAATGCCCAAATCGAAATGATTCGAATTGATGAACATTTCAGGCAACGAGAAAAACTCAGGAATCAACTCTTTAACATCAGCCATGTTGTTACGTGATGCACTCAACCATGCGTCCGCAACACTATGAAACATTCGATCGGCTAGATCAAAATGTCCTCCCTGAAACAATCACAACTTATTGAAGACCACAGTCAGTAACTAACAAAAACGAACACTTCTATTAAACAGTTCATTCATTCATCTATCTTTTACATCTTTCTACTGAAATGCAACTAGCAATCAACTCAAACAATGTCCATTCACTCATTCACCTGTAATTTCAGAAACTGTTGTGTGAATGGTTCCAAACGAACCAAATACGAGACCACAATCATAGCACTACTGTAATGTGTACCATACATATACGGTGGCGTTTCACCGCTTGGATCATCCCATTCTCGGTAACGTCGCAAGAATTGACTCAAACGTTCAGCACTCTGTGCACCCATTGGTCGACTGAGATTACGGAACGATCGCGGATTCGTCAAGTCGAGAACCTTTAGGATCAATCGTCAACAAACAAATCAATAATATCGCTTAATGAATTTTAAAAAAAGAGATACGCGTGCCATTCTCATTATAACTTGTAAACGATTACCCACCTCAGAATCGTAATCACTGAGAATCCACGGGAATATCGGATATTGTGAAAGATCATTGTAAGATCTACCAGCGAGCGTATTCAAATGCATCAAATATTGAAAATTGCTCATCTCACCACGCAACCAACGTTGTGTTACTGACTGTTGGCCTGAAGTCTCGTTGTCAAAGATAACACAAAAATAAACCACACAAAAAAAAGAAGTGAACAATGCAAAACCTCACCAATTATGGAAGTAAGAAGTGAAACACGACCACTCTGCTCGACAGGCACTGATGAGCGTTGTCCACTGACCGATTCACTGCCACCGTCTTTCAAAGCTTTCGCCATCGAGACAAGTCTTTAAATGACAGAACACTTCGAATCAAATCAACTGATTTCATTGAACGAATAACCACTCAACTGCTCACTACTAGTTCTAATATGATAGTGATAATCGTAGTACCAACTTTTGATAGACACGATTTCGCATGCGTTTTGGGAATGCCAATAGATAATTGCGACCATCGGCTGAGAATACTTCAATAGCGATCGGTTGAAGTAAGTATCGTCTGCGATGCACTTCACGAATATCGTCATACGCAAACTTACTGCATAATCGCGTACGTCTACTCGGTCTGGTTGCACCACACGCCATATAGGGCACGATTGGATCGTGCAATCTGAAATGCATTAATAACGCAAACATCTGCTGATGACAATAGTAACAATAAGAATAATATTCATTGAATTAATTCTACATATGTGCAGAACATATTGTATAAATGTAAATATAAATCAAAAATTGAATAAATAAACGAACACTGTTTACTTACTCTTGCGGTAAAAAGTCCAAATCGCGTATTTCACGGGTTTTGAGCAGTGTAAAGCCGTCCACTACATAGTAGTGCTCACGACCGAATAGCAACAGTCCCTCACTGGTATCTAAACCTTGCACACGCGCACAACGGAACATCGAATGCAGTTGCTCACCCTGAAACGACGAAATTCATTCGATCCACTTACTAAATAATGAAATGATAAAGGGCAAATAATTTTCCAGTATGATTACCTGTTCTAATAACCTCAACAAAGTTTGATTGTCAGGTCCCCGTTTCTGCCTGTTGTTTATCAACGACGATGAAGACGTTTGATGATGATGATGTGATGTGGATGACGAAGACGAAGGCATTTCAGATGCTTTTTGTTTGCTCACTTGATTGTGATGATGTGCAGCAATTGCATCGTTTCGAGTTGTGCTCTCGTTGGCTGTAGAAGAGGAGGAAGTTGCGTTTGCGCTCATATCCGTCGAGTCGTTACCGATCAACGACTGATCACTCACTAGAACGCCATCCTCCTCATCCGCGCCTCCATCATCCTCTTCGTCCAAATCCACTTCACTTTTTTCGGCGCCCATTAACGACGAATTTGCCGTCTCCAACAAGGACGCCTCTGTTTCGGTCTCGGCTTCGACCTCTTCGTTGCGTTCACCCTCTGACGATCCGGTCATTGCTATTGTATCACTTGTTCCATTTTCTTCGTCTTCCGCTTCACGTTCCGCATCACCAGTTGTACTCGAACTACTTCTGCCATTCTTCCGGCCACCTCGTCCCGCTACAGCCGTTCCACCGCTTGCTGCCGGTAAACCGGCATCACTATGACGAATCGACACGCGTTGTATCATCGACATACTCACTTCTAAACGTATCACAACTTTATTCATTTCATACATCATGTCAAATCGGATTTCAAGTTCATTCGAACCACTCTCTCGCCCGAATCAATCTGACTAACTTCTCAAATCCTGGCTGACTACTTCAAGCACTAGATCTTACGTATCATAATGCAGAAGCGTATCAACAAGTACCGTACCTTGCATATCAGCAAAGAGCAGTTCACCACGTTCTTCCGATGGAGTGTTGATCATCGCCGATTGATCGACGATACGTGAGTCGATTGTCTTACTGCGACGACGTTTCATTGCTTCATAATACAGTTTGCTATCTTTTGAGATTGCCACTTTTGCGCGTAACGCCTTCTGCAATTATTCATCTTAACAATAATACTATGTACCAATAATAACTTACGAATAATAATAATAATAATAACAATGAATACACACTTAGGATATTAATACTTAATTACGACATTCTTATCATTATCAGATGTTCTCTAAACATAAAAATAACGAAGATGTAAAAGAAACCGATTCTGGAAGATCCAAATGTGGTCGATAGGGATACTGATGATAGAAGGTTGGATTGGGAATCAGTTTGCGACGAATACGGCATGGACCTTCGGTGGTGTCCAACGCGAATTTATCTAACGACGAGCCTATTTGTGGACCCCAAAGTCCTCGTTCACTATAACAACAACATTATACTGACACTAAGTGCACTAACAGTCTGAATGAATGAAACAAAAAAGAACCGAGTTAGTTCAGCCTCGAGTGCGTGCCACTCTTGCAGACACCATTTCTGCACGTGTGAATGCCATTCATGATATCGAACACACTGTGCACGCACCAATTCACGTATCAACGACGTGTGCACTCGTATCCACATGTGAACAACCTGAACATAGATATTCTGCGCTACTTATCGCACTGCTAACAGTCAACTCATTTCAACTGGAACAAAGAAGAAGGTTACTTTGAAGGTTTACCTAAGGATTCGAAATATTTTTTTTTTGGGGAGGGGGGGAGGGGGTAACTTCTAACCACAGGAAAGGTGA